ATAAGGTACGTGTCTGTTTAGATCCTCAAAATTTGAACAAAGTTATAATTAGGGAACGATATTTGATGCCTAATTTTGAAGAATTAGTTTCTAAAATGCCAAATGCTAAATTCTTTTCTGTTCTTGATGCTCATAAAGGATTTTATCATATCAGTTTAGCACCAGAGAGCCAACTGCTAACAACATTTAATGCAGGGCATTTAGGACGTTATTGCTACTTAAGATTACCATTTGGTTTAAGTTCGGCACCAGAAGTGTTCAGTAAATGCTTTTCAGACATATTTAAAGATGTAGAAGGTGTGCAACTGTATGTCGATGAATTAATTATTTGGGGGAAAGTATGGAACAACACAATAGTAGACTTGAGAGAGTGCTGACGAAAGCACAAGAAGCAGGTGTGAAATTTAATAAAGAAAAATGCCAATTACCAGTGCAGCAAGTAAAATATGTGGGCCATATTTTAACAAGTGATGGTTATAACCAGACCCAGAAAAAATTCGAGCTATTTTAGATATGGGAGAGCCAAAAGATAAAAAACAATTACAGAATATATTGGGTATGATCACATATATTACAAAATTTATACCAAATGCTTCGGATATTACTCATTCGTTTCGTGATTTACTTAAAAAAGACTCGGTTTTTATATGGGGTGATAAACAAAAACAAGATTACCAGAAACTTAAAAAATTTCTTACTTCAGAAACAGTTTTAAAGTATTATAATCCAAAATTACCAATAACATTGTCAGTAGATAGCAGTAGTACAGGTTTAGGAGCAGTATTGTTGCAAAACAATATGCCTGTAGCGTATGCATCAAAAGCATTGACTGAAACACAAACTAAATGGGCACAAATTGAGAAGGAAATGTTAGCTATAGTTTATGCCTGTGAAAAATTCCATCAGTATGTTTATGGTAAAAGCATAATAGTTGAGTCGGATCACAAACCATTGGAACATATTTTTCAGAAAAATATGAATGAAACTCCTTTGAGATTACAAAGATTAAGACTTAGGTTACAACCTTATAACTTAGAAATAAAATATAAACCAGGCAAAGAATTGTTAGTTGCCGATGCTTTATCAAGAACCTATGTAAATGATAATATATGTAATAGTGATATTGATAAACAAGTAGATCTACATGTGTGTATGATTATAAACAGTATGAACATTAGCAAAGAAATGTTTGTACAATTCAAAAAAGAAACGGAAAATGATGATCAGCTTAAATTATTAATGCAATTTTTAAAAGAAGGATGGCCTAACTGTTCGGAAATACCATTCGATCTAAAATTTTACTATTCTATTAAAGACGAATTGTATGTTACTGACAACTTGATATTTAAAAATACAGCCCTACTAGTTCCAAAGAGTTTAAGAAGACAAATGTTAAGATTAATTCACTATAATCATTTAGGATATGAAAAATGTAAAACAAGAGTTAAGAATATTTTGTACTGGCCGTTTATTTACAAAGAATTAAAAGATGAAATATCAAATTGTGAAACATGTTTGCGTTTTAAAAAAACACATATGCATGAACCTTTGATGCTAAGAGAGTTTCCAGAAAGACCATGGCAAATAATTGCTGCAGACATGTTCTTGTTGCAAAATAAAACATATTTGTTAACTGTTGACTACTTTACTAAATATGTAGAAGTTGTTGAACTCAAAGATCAATGTGCCGAAAGTCATGTAAAAGCTCTGAAAACAGTGTTTTCACGGTGGGGTATTCCGGAAAAGCTATGTACGGATGAAGGATCACAGTACAATAGTTTGATTTTTAAAGAATTTGTTAAAAGTTGGAACTTTCTACATATTACATCAAGTCCATATTATCCGAGATCAAATGGAATGGCGGAAAGATATGTTCAAACGGTGAAAAATATATTTAAAAAATGTTTGTATGACAATAAAGATCCTTTCCTAGCCTTGATGGAATACCGAAACACACCAATAGATTATAAGACTCCATCACCAAATCAATTGTTATTAGGAAGACAGGTAAATTCATGTCTGCCTACAAATGAGGTTAAAAACAAACAAAATAATGAAAGCATAAGAGAACATTTATTAGACAAGAGAAATAAGTATAAATTGTATCATGACAAAAAGAACAGAGGAAAGGCAGAAGAATACAAAGTAAATCAGAATGTATTTGTCAGAGAAAGTAAAAATGATAAGTGAAATTAGAAAATGGGGAAACTATCAAAAGAAATAGGTATAATATTTATAAGGGGTCTCAGAACACTAACTTTGTAGTTAAGGATAAAAATAAAAGTTATGATTCACAGATTAAAAATAAAAATAATGCTAAACTAAATAGTACCAATCAGATAGTAGAAAATAATTTTGAAAGTTTAAATGAAAGTGTTCAAAGTAATAGTAATGACAATAATTTACAAACAGAGCAGACAACAACAAGATCAGGTAGAATTGTTAAACAACCTACATATTTATATGATTATGAAACTTAATAAATAAGTACTAGATGATAAATATAAATTTAAACTTAAGGCAATGTTATGTTACTAGTAAAATAATTGTGTAAGTTAAGTAAACTTAAAGTTTAACGAAATATTTATAAACTTACAATAATAATAAAAGTTAAGTAAATATAAGAAGGGAGATGTCAGATAAGTTACATCACTAACGCTTTTAACTAATACATCACTAAGGTATGATATTGAATATATAAAAATAAAGGTGGCGCAGAGTGCTAGACTTTCTTAATGTTTTATTTAATCAACCGACATTACAACGATCCTGTCCGCCCTTGGTTCGATGGTACACGACAAGAATAAAATACCTGGGAGGACTTACTACTTGATGTACAGCTAGGGTTAACACCGCACGGCCCGTAAGGGCCGCGCGGGAAAAAACATTGCACGGTCAAACACCGCACGGCCCACATCGCTCCCCACGGGACTATAAGCCGTTTTTTGTGAAGGTTAGAGTCTACTTTTGTATGAAGAAGTTTTACTATAGGCAAACGTGGATAAATTCTCATTCTCCAGAGCCGTAAATTTTGCGCCAAAACTGCGTACTTTTTTTTTATTTGGCTAGTGAAAAAGTGACATTTTTTTCGTTCATTGGAGGTTACTAGTGTGTAATTTTTCTGTTTTTTCAAGGTAAGTGTATATTTTTGTACGAAAAGTGTTACAAAGTGTGTTAATCTGCTTATGATATACCTTTATAGATAATCGGTTGTATGAAATATTTTGTAAAAATACAAATTTTTAAGTTCAAATTTGACGGAGTTTGTTAGGTTGTTTCCAAGTGATTTGTGATGATTGAGTTTCGTAAATACAATAAATCATTGTAATAAGCACTGGAAACTCGTTTACAATTAGTTTTACGCCGTAAATACTAAATTATTACTAATAAAATTCACCATCAAAAATGGTATATCGTCTGTCAATTGCTAGCGTGCCATTTTGACTCTTATTTGTACGTACTAACGGGCGTAGCCTACCGGCTTCGATCTGGAACTCTTTTCATAGACGTATTGAATAGACACGGAACATATCGATAGTTACAAGATAAAAATAATGAATTATCGATAGATCGACGGATATTATGGTGGAGCTATTTTATGATTTATTTATATTTAGCTAAATTAATTATTATTTTTTCAGTGACAATTTTACATAATATAACAAAATAATATTGGTTCATGCGTAAATATGTAGATTTGATTACGAGTGGTTTAGTAAATTGCGTGGTTTTCTTTTTTTGTATTTTATAGTATGTCTTCGTGGCGCGTAGACCAAGACCCACCCGCCGATTTTTTAAGGCTCCTCTATGATGACGAGGGTGAGGGTGAGGAGAATTTTAGTGACGTGGAGAGTGATGATGAGGTGGTAAGTCTACAGTAGTTCTTTACAGTTGCCCTCGTAATATGTTTAAATATATTTAAAATGTGTGTAAATTTTCCATAGGATGAAGTCAACATGCGTTATGGAAAAAACGGTAATATAAAAATGAATGCTTTTATAATAAAGCAACCATTCCTTATATCCAAAGCTTTTCTTTAGGAATGCACTGGTGTTGAGCTTATTGTGTTTGGTTTTCATGGGTATCACGCTTATTGTTTTTGGTTTGAAGTGGTTACTGCCTTTTCATTTGATTTGTGTATAATGTAATGGGTTTGAGGTGATTGCATTGCATTTTATTTATTGTGTTGTTGCATGAACTTTCTTTTGTATGGCTTAGGACGTTAATGAAGGACACAGAACTCCAACGCCAGAAGCCCCCCAGTATTCGCCGCTGATATCACCATCGCACCGGGAGGATAGGGAGAGGTCCCGATCACCGATCCGGGATTCTGAACCGTAAGTTTTATTTAAATAAGTAAATAAATCAAATTTATATATATATATATAAATTTGATTTATTTGAGAAATTTATATTTATGTAAATATATTTTATCCTACTGATGTTATAACTGTGGAAGTTTGTGTTTGTTACTCAATCACACAAAAGCGGCTGCACGGATTTGGGTGAAATTTGGCACGCGCATACTTTTATTCATTACATTATATCCCGGGAAAACATTAAATTCCTAAGGTATTTTCTGAATACTAAAGTCAAAGCTCGCCAAGTCGCTGGCGGCCGCAATTTTATATATAATAATTTGCTATTTTTTTATAGGACGGGTGTGGTGGTCAGAATATATGACGAGGCTGGCGTGGCTCTCGATGAAGAATTTTTGACACCAGACGCCCACCCAATATATAATTTTGATTCTGTAAATGTTGTGAATGATGCGAGTGAAAGAAGGAACGGACGAAGAGGGATGAGAGGCATTCGGGGGCGAGGGCGAGAGCACGCGGGCGTGCATTTTCGCATCGAAGTCGGCGGGGAGGATTTCAGTGGCAGGTGGGACACCCACTGAAAGAAATTTGGACGACTGATGAAGATGTCCCCCCCCCCCCCCCCCCCCCGAATTAATAAGTTTGGCAAGGGATGTTGTGAGGAGGCGAGAAGAGATGGGAATGAATTTTTTGACGCCAGTGATGCACAGGATGGTCTCCCAGGGCTAGAAGGCCAGAATCGTTAAGGAATGATTAAGGTACTGTGTACACAGCTCCATTCATCATCACTATCAGCGGAACTAAATTGTTAAGATGACGTTGGATGTATGTTAATATTATGACATGATTATGAGTGATATGATGATTATACAATGATAATTTAATAATTGAATGAACGATCTTGTAGAATCTAGTGGATAGTGAGGACAGTATGAGCCGGGCAGGATTCAGGATTGGCGTATGAACTCGCCGAACAGGAGTGGCTCTTACTCCGTGATTGTAATTAGGTAGGGAGGGATATATGAGCCGGGCATGATTGGCGTATGCACTCGTCGCCCAGGAGTGGCTGTTACTCCATGAATTATGTTGGCAAAGGAATTATGATTCAAATACAAAGATACTCAATTAAGGAATAGTGAGAATGTTCGAGTCGGGCAGGATTGGCATGTGAGCTCGTCGCCCACGAGTGGCTCAAACATTTCTATTAGGCATTGCTAATAGAAATGTTTGTATTAAACCACACATTTGTGGTTGTGAAGGAAGTAGCTTCCACACATAGGGAGGGTGTTGGAAGAGGATCTCAGTGCTGTATGAACTCATCACTCAGGAGAGGTTCCATGCATCGCAGTCATGACAGTGGGACAGTCGGTGCGAATGACTCTCTCTCTTCATGGCTATAATCAGAGTTACAGAGTAATGTTAGACCTCGAGAGTATAAGATATTGAACTGTATATAATCAATGGTTGTGTATACATATCACGTGTATATGTCGTGTTTGTATTATTTAGATTGTAGTGCACTTGTGATGTGATAAGTTTTAGCGCAGTTACTTGCCAACAAACAGTTCTCAGTTTGGCAAGATCTAAATTTTTGTTATCAAGTGTACCCAAAATAACTACAATAAATCGAAAAAAAAAAAACTAATGTAAGTGACTGATATTTATAAGTACGTGTAAAAGAATAAAGTACCATTTAAAACAAAGAGACTCGTTTCTGAAGGATAGCCGACTGTTACGTGACTATCAATATTGCTAGTGGCAACACTACTGTTAACGTCATGGTGAATGAATGACAGCTTCACATCCAGTCGGTCACGTTTGACAGATGACACTTCGGAACGAGCCGTCTTCTAGTAAGGGGTTGTCCATTAATCACGTGAGGCTTGAAAGGGGGGGGAGGGGTTTGATAAAAATCACGAAAATAACACAAGGGGGAGGGGGGGGGGTGTGTAGTAAGATATCTCGTGTATTTATTTTTTCGTCAAACGCGCGATTTTTAAACAAATATTAAGCGGCACGGCGCGGCGTGTAGTGACCTTGACTCGCCGTTGCCAGGCAAAGAACGGAGGCCTAACGCGCACGCGCCGCCGGCCGCCCGGCTCGGCATGCAGTCGACAGTTATTCTGTTGTTTTGGCGCCGAATACATGCGTAAACCGTTACCTTGTACGTTTTTCATTAAAACAATGTTTAAAGTAGGTGATCTGTATAAAGACCTTTTCGCCGAGTATAAGAAAGGAAAAAAACCGCCGAAAGCACCAAGCAAAGAAGTCTTCCAATATTCTCTATTATTGTTCTAATTCTAAAAAGGTAAGTTATAACTAGTATTTGTCTGTTTAAGGGCATTGTCCTAATAATTACGACTTCATCTATAGTTTATTTGTAATATCAATGTTATTGTTAAATCTTCCAACATTTTTGATAGGTAATTTAAGGAAAAAATATAGATAAAATATGTATAGCGTACTTTAAGTATAACATACTTAAATCCAAAAGATATTTTTTTATTTTTAGATTATAAAGAAGTTATTTAAATAATCTCTAGGTTTTTAATAGTTTTAGCTAGTCATTGGCGCACAGGAATGTTATATTCCATTCCATAAAAAATGCTGAATAAACATCACGTGACCCATATGCCTACATATCACCGATCGCTGAACTCTAAAAAAGTAGGTGTATTGAGCTGAACCTTGTCTATGAGGCATGGGTTTATCTAACGTAAAAAACAAAATAAACCGTAAGTCGTGGTGGTTATAAGGTGAAGGTTATATTACTATTGTTACACATTTTGCGCTTGTTTATATATTAATATCTTGTCGCTTTGTGAAAACTTAAAACTATTTATGGATCATACTATTGAACTGAAAAATTTGCCTACTAATGAACGGTGGCAGTATGATATTGCATACCTACATATAATTACATACACATTATTCTAGTGAAAATACGAGGATTGTGCATGGTTTGTGTGCCGTTTCGAACTCTTATTTTAATAAAAGAAAAAATAAAATTACTGGAGATGGTTAATTTATAATATAATATTTATAATATAATATAATTTGCACGATATTATCTTTACTTACACGATAATAATTAAATTATTAATTTTCAGAATGCCAGCGAAAAAATTTCTGTTTTGCCAATGACATCCAATGAGCCAAATCTACCTGTAAAACTTCCTACGCCTGCGATATGCGTCTCACCGATCGGTACCGAAATTACTGACGAAGGCAATGTCACTACTAAAAGTAGCTAGTATTATTATAATTCTAAATAAGAATTAGTAATTTAGTTTATAAACATAATTTCAATGTTTTCTTGTTGTTTAAATGTCGGTCATTCCAGGTGCTCGGAAACGTAAAGGTGAAGATTTGGATTGTAGCGACGAGAATTCACCCGATACACCAAGTGCAAGCAGCTCTATACTGCAGCCTGTACGTGCTACTCCAGCACAGGATAAGTTGAAGAATCAGATTTCTCTTCTTCAAATGGAATTTGACTTAGCTGTTCGTCGTAGGGATTTTCTGGGCGCCACTGAAAATGAGACACGTGATGTGACGAAACTGCGCCGAGAAATTGATAAATGCACAAAAGAACTACGGAAGAAGGAGCAACATATGCGTCACTCCCAGTCACATAGATAATCAATAAAATCAAAGATTAAACTTGCTTGCAATCAGAGTCCGATTGTAGCTGATCTTCTTAAGGCACGTTCTGCCCCAGGTCGCCCACGCCTAGAAGAGCAACAACCGCAATTGCTAAAAACTATTGTCGATTTGGCTATGTTTGGTGCTTCTGCGGAGGAACGGCGTCGCTCAGAAATTGTTCGCAGTTGCCGAACACTTACTGACCTCCATGAAAAGCTAAAGGAGCACGGATTTCAAATTTCGAAGAGTGGCACGTATCTTCGATTGCTCCCTAGAAATTATACCACCTTGGAGGGTAAAAGGCATGTAGTCACTGTGCCTGTCAAATTGAGTCGCCCTGAGGCAGATCACCATAAGGCTCATGTCGATCAACATTTTTGTGTCGCCACAATAAGATCCTTGGAAACGCTGGCATCTATTCTCGGGCCAAAACAAGTGTTTTTTTTGTCCCAAGATGATAAAGCCCGGGTACCTATAGGTTTGACAGCGGCAAATAAACAAGCTCCTCTCCTGATGCATGTCGAATATCGTGTCTCATTGCCTGATCATGATTGGGTGATTGCTACAAGGCACAAATTGATCCCTAGTGTATATGCTGGGTGCATCATAAAAGGAAATGATATGGGCCGTGCTGAAGCAATTACTTATTCAGGGCCAACATACGTGGCGATTATAAGTGGCAAACATTCCTCTTCGACAGCTTCTACTCATGCTGTGGACTTCAATAAGCTTGCTACACTCAACAATTTCAAGGAAATTATGCGGGATGAAGAAGGACGCCTGAAACCAGTTGATCTGATTTCATCTGATGGAGGACCCGATGAAAACCCGAGATATCCAAAGGTTATTTCCCATGCCATACACCACTTTGTCAAGCATGATTTAGATGCAATATTCATTTTTACGAATGCACCCGGCAGAAGCGCATTCAATCGTGTTGAGAGAAGAATGGCGCCTTTAAGCCGGGAATTATCTGGACTCATACTTCCGCATGATTCTTATGGAACTCATTTGGATGAACAAGGGAGAACAAAAGATCATGATCTCGAAAAAATGAACTTTCAGAAGGCTGGAGAAGTTCTCACAGAAGTATGGAATAATATGGTTATCGACGGCCATGACGTCGTAGCAGAGTACCTCGAGCCCGATGACACTACTGAAAGCTTTGTTCCAGACTTGCCTTCTCTGCAGTGGTATAGCGAGCATGTGCGAGAGAGCCAGTATTTGCTTCAGGTACATTAGTAAAATCTCATTTATTATTATTTTATCATTTACTTTTCTTATCTAATATGATTAAGATATCTTAATATTATTACCAGGTGGTGAAGTGTGATGACCACGCTTGCTGTGGAGATTTGCGGAGTTCTCTTCGATCTATTCTTCCTGAACGCTTCGTTATACCTCCTTACCCAATTTTGCAGTCGTCTAGTGGTCTATGTATTCCGAAGCCTCAAGAGCATGATGGCAAGACGTTTGCTACATTTCTTCTGCGTTGGTCTCTTGGAATCACCCCAACGCATGAGGGCTTTAACAAATTGCCGTATGACCTGTATTGCCCTAGTCTGCAAAAGGATCGTCGGCAACTTTTGGAAAGGACGTGCCAGTGGTGTGGATTGTACTTCTGTACAAAGAAGAAAGTTAAGGAACATGTAAATTCATGTCACAAGCAACCTAATCCGAGCAGTAATAGTGTAGAGATGCACAATGTTCGTCCTTCACGCATCCTCACGCGACGATCAATCGGCAGATCAAAAGAAATTCTCTGCGTTGTGCGCGAAAATGATGACACCGAGTGGTTTGATGAAACCGATGTTGATTTTCAACAAAGCACAGTGCCAACAACTGACCTGCAAGATGCTTATCCAGTTGTTAGTGTTGAAGAATGTCTTGCTAATCCGTGGTCCGAGGACAATATACATTAAATATATTCATGTACTAGTACAATACATGTTTTTCCTATGATTACACTCTTCGTTTATTATTATTGTTATGGCAATAAAAAAAACTTGCAACCTGGTGTAGACATTTTTATTATGGTCCTTAATTTCAGAATAAAATAAGATTATAGTTTATACCTGTATTTAAATTAAGATAATATTCAGAAAATTTTAAGATTCGTTGTAGGTACTAAAAATACACGTGATGTTGAGAAGGGGGAGGGGGGGGTGGTCTTAAACCTCACTACGTATCACCAATGGGGGAGGGGGGGTTAAAAATGCTAAAAAAAAGATGACGTGATTAATGGACACCCCCTAAGTAAGATTAGTGATATTTGATTTAATTATGATATCCGTGAGAGCTTTCTGTAAAGTAAACATTTGGTGTGTATCTTGTTGTTTTAAACTTCTATCCCGAACACGTGAAATGTCAAAAGTGACAATCTGTTCAAGATTATGTGGATGTAAAAACTAAAAAGATGCGGAAAATTAGAAAGTGCGTAAAATCACAATACAAATATACCCCCGAGATTTAATTTTACAGTTGAAAAGTCACACCGAAATGTTACTTCCACACGAGTTCAATATTGTACATCAATATATGACTATGAAATTAAAAAAGGAAACATTGATAGAGCGGGATGCTATTATTCATGTTGACTTTAGTGGAAATTACACTACTCAACACTTAAAAAATATCTGACCCAATTCATATTATTTCATAATAAGCTTGACCAATATAAAAATACTGTATGCATTTTATTTCGATATCACATCTGGTTATAGGGATAAATATTTTTTTATTTTTTTACCAACCTACAAAAGTTAAAATGCGGGTAGTCCGGAAACTTATTACTTTTGCAAATGGAACATAGTGCATTTGTTAGTATATTAACTGACTTCTAAAATGTCGCGAGTGTGTGTTAACAGTCCTGATTTATTTTGCTATATTTGTGGCGAGTTTACGCAGAAATCGAAAAAAAAAACACTTTCTGACTTAATTAAACAGTGCTATCAAGCTTATTTTAACCGTGTCTTAAGGAATCAAGACAAGTCATGGGTTCCTAAAGTGTGCTGCTTAAGATGTTATACATATCTCAATGGTTGGTGTAAGGGAACAACTAAAAAAATGCCATTTGGTACGCCAATGGTGTGGATGGAGCCAACGAATCATGCCGTCGATTGTTATTTTTGTTTAACGCAATTAAAGGGGTTTTCTGAAAAATCAAAACGAAGTATTAAGTATGCCAACGTGCCATCGGTAATAAAACCTCAGCCACATTCTGACGAGTTACCTGTTCCTGAGTGCCCAGTGAATTTAATTCAGACAGTTGAAGTCGACTCGAGTTCGACGGATAGTGAAAATAGCGAGGACCCCCAATATGTCCCAAAATGTGCATCTGAGCCACTTTTATTGAATCAAACTAGGCTTAATGACTTAATAAGAGAATTAAATTTACCCATTGATAAGGCAGAATTATTGACATCCAGATTACAGCAATGGAATCTATGTGAATCAGATGTGAAGGTATCTTTTTATCGTAAACGACATAGCTCACTGGTTCCGTACTATTCTAAAGAAGATGGCTTAGTTTTTTGCAATGATGTAAATGGATTAATGGCACAGCTTGGGCAAAATCATGTAGCTGCTGAATGGCGTTTATTTATTGATTCCTCAAAAAGTAGCTTGAAAGCAGTATTGTTGCATAATGGAAATGAGTTACCGTCCTTGCCCCTCGCTTATAGTGCTAATTTGAAAGAAACTTATGACGTTATGAAACTTTTATTAGAAAAAATTAAATACAGAGATCATAAATGGCCAGTTTGTGCAGATCTTAAAGTGGTTGCTTTGTTAACAGGCTTGCAGTCAGGCTATACAAAATATTGTTGTTTTCTTTGCGAGTGGGATAGCCGAGCTCAAGCTCAACATTTTATTAAAAAAGATTGGCCATTACGTCACTCTCTAGTAGTGGGCCAGAAAAACGTAAAATTTGAACCATTGGTTGAGCAAGATAAAATTATTTTGCCGGCATTGCACATCAAACTGGGGCTCATAAAAAATTTTGTGAAAAAAATAAGCAAAGAAGGTGCGGCTTTCCAGTTTCTCAAGCTTAGTGACGCGAAAATTAAAGAGGGTGTTTTCGTAGGTCCAGACATAAAAAAGCTGATTCAAGATCCATCTTTTATATCTGCTCTCAATAATATTGAAAAACAAGCATGGAACGCTTTTGTCGATGTCACTAACAATTTCCTTGGTAACAAGAAATCTGAAGATTTTCGCGAAAAAATAAAAGTTTTATTGGACTGCTACTATAAAATGGGATGCAATATGTCACTTAAGTTGCATTTTCTTCACTCGCATTTGGACTTTTTCCCTGAAAATATTGGATCAGTCAGTGACGAACATGGCGAATGCTTTCACCAAGATGTTGTTGCATTTGAAAAGCGATTTCAAGGCAGATGGGAGCCTGCTATGCTCGCGGATTACTGTTGGAGCCTTATTAGAGAGACCCCTGCTACTGAGTACAAAAGAAAAGCCAGCCACTCCAAAAAAACTACGCCATTTCAATTAAAATTACAATAAAATTATGGAAAATTCGTGATTTCGGACATGGATGTTTATCTGGACATTGAGATGTGATGGTGTGTGTATATTTGCATATTTTTATTACTTTAGTGGCAAGAAATAGTAATCACATAATGCGACCTCAGATAAAATCAAAAGTTGAAAATTTGTTGAGTAGTGTTATCAAACCAAATTCACTGATGAAGTGCAATCGTTCCATTTTGGAGGGTCGAGGAAGCAGATAAGCATCCATATGGTCGTGGTGTATACCAAAGAAAATAATGGAGAGTAACATTGCTCCTGTTATTGCACCTTATCAAAAAAAAAATCACATTCACCACCAGCAAGTGGGCACATTTGCAGTCTTTTCTGTACAGCCTTCCCGCACAAATCGAAAACTTGCATTTCCTAAGTAATGGACCGGTCACACAATACTGTATTACAGACCCACCAACTTATCTGTGAAATGGAGAAAATGGGAACTACGGCCGCCATGCTGAAATGTCATTCGATTGTCGATGTCTACTACATTCAGGTGTTCTGTGTTTTCTGTTGCGATATTTCTACATTTTCAGTGTTTAATATGCCGAAAGCGATTAAAAGTGATGCGCGAAGCATCATTCTTAACCCTAGATAACTAAACATTCGTTCACGCGACTACGCCCCTGTTCAAGAACGTCAAGTGCACTTACTTCTCCGCACCCCGTTCCCGTCATGCTTTGTTTACCTTTCTGATTGGTGCGAATAATTCAGCGGGTGATGCGGTTGCGCTCACACGATAATTTGGAAGTGACCTATGGCTACATCGTCGTCAGGTTGACGAAAGTTTAGTTACTAGGTACGTGAATTTGCAAAGGTATGTACAATTATTTTTTTATATTATTTGTTATTTATACAAGGCTACCACGAACTTTTTTATATTATTTTATTTAAATTAATATATTTTACTTTTTATTTATATATTGAGCTATTTATAGCGAAATTAAATTATAAAAAATACATTTTATAAGATATTTCTGAATTGCGACTAAATATTTTTATTATTTTTATGCACTTTTTATTATTTTTAGATTAATATGAGAAATCAAGAAGAGCAAGTAAGTGACTCGAAGAAGTAGAAGGTGAAGAGGAGGGTTCTAATGATTCGACCTCAGAGACGGAGGATAATGTGGAGGAAGAAATACATATCAACCCTGATTCCGAATTTTCAAACGAATCTTCAGAACCTGAGGATGACATCATACGATTAAGTAAGAGACAGAGAACTGAAATTATAGACTCTGATGACTTTAGAGGATATTCATGAAACTAATTCCCCTCAAACTTCAAACCAAGGCAACCAGCGTGTTCTTCAAGTAACTCCCAGATTCCTTTATGGTAAAAACAAACATAAATGGTCGTCTCTACCTAGATCAGTTACTTCTCGTACTCTGAGAGGGAACATCGTACATTTTATACGAGGTCCAAGAGGAGAAGCTAGGGAATTACATAAACCAATAGATTTACGACGCGATTTTGTCATAAAGATGGGAGACCAACTTATGGACCCTTGGTTAAGGGAGCGATTACAAACGGTGACTTTGAGGCATGACATCAAGGTTATGACAAAAGATATTCTTGGTGAGTCATCAGATCCTGAATACCCTGTTCATTCTGTGACCAATGTGCGTAAAAAATGTTACTTATGTCCATCAAAGGCTCGTAGGATGACAAAACATCGATGCATTAAATGCAAAATGCCATTTTTGGATCGCACAATATTGACGTTTATAGTAGCTGTGCAAAATAATTACTTATTGTTAAATGTCTTTCACATCAGTTGCTATTAAACCAAACTTAAGTGTCATGTAACCAGTTCCTATTTTTAATAAATACTTTAGATAATTTTCATGTTTTTTATTGCGTAGTCTGCCTGACGAAAGTTTAGTTACTATGTATCTACGAATATAGTTTAGTTACCTAGGGTTAAGGTCAAAGCATTTTTGAAGAAGAAGAAGCTCGGGTGGAGGCTCCGATTATTCTATTTAATCAAGTATACAAACGAATTTCTGCAGCTACAGGTTAGTGTTGTCTACTTTCTTTTTGTAAATTACCCGATATTTTTTTCATTGATTACTTTTTAACATAATTGTAACTTAAAAAATATAAAGCTGAGTGATTCAACTACCTATAGTTCTCGTCGCGTAAAAATAACGCTGGAATAATCTGAGGGGCTCTCCCGCATAGGTACGTTTGGCTTAGCGTAAATTCTTTCCACTCCACTGCCTTCTAGCGTTCTTCTTACGTGACGCAATTTGTACGCAAGCCGCATAAAAAATAGTTACTCATATTTTAACTACAGTATGTAAATACTTAATTAATTTTGTCTATATTTTAGGTGTGAATCAAGGGCTAATTTCAAAAATAGTTAAAGAAGGGCATGCAGCAGAAGAAGCTGGTACAAAAATTCGGACCCCAGGCAAGGAGAGGAAACGTCAAAGTGGGTTTATTCATGTTGATGATTTTGACATGGGGGTTATCTGGAGGAAAGTACATGAATTTTACTCTATTAAAAATGAGTTACCGAATGTTAAGAAGCTCCTAGAGGTCTTAAAAACAGAAAAAAATTACACAGGACAAAGAGAAAGTCTACGAAAGCTGCTCCACAAAATGGATTTTCGCTTTAAAAAGTCGCAGTCTAATCGTAAAATGCTCATGGTGCGCAATGAAGTATCAGCTTGGAGAGCAAAATACTTGCATGCTGTAGAAAAAAAATATAAATCTCCACAGCCTCGGCCGCTAATTTATTTGGATGAAACCTATATACATTCAATTCATACATCAGGTAAATGCTAGCAAGGAGAGGGTGTAGATGGAGTGTTAGAGCCTGTATCAAAAGGGCAAAGATATATTATTGTTCATGCGGGAGGGGATACCGGATATGTCCAAAATGCTCTTCTAGTTTTTAAGTCCAACACAAAAAGTGGTGACTATCATGACGACATGAATGGTACTAACTTTAAAAAGTGGGTTATTGAAAAACTTGTGCCTAATTTACAAGAGCCATCAATTATAGTAATGGATAATGCCCCTTATCACCGTATTTGTGTAAATAAAATACCAAATACTAATTCTTTAAAGGAAGATATGCAATTATGGTTGACACAAAATAAAATTGACTACGGAGAGGAGTTTACGAAACCACAGCTGTTAGAAATAATTAAGAGAAATAAGCCTGAACCTGTGTATGAAATTGAAAAAATATTAGAAGAAAATGGACACAAATGCTTATACTTACCTCCCTATCATTGTGATCTCAATCCCATCGAATTAATACGGAGCTCGATGAAAAGAAAAGTTGCAGATATAAATATTGACCACAAAAATTCTGAGATTCCCCTAGTTCAAGAAGCTTTTGAAAGTATAACGGTCAGAGAGTGGGCTCAGCATTGCAATCATGTTCGCAAGTTACAAGCAGAATATTTGAAGCATGATGTGTATTTGGATAAACCGTTCATTATAGAAGTGATAAGTGATTCGGAAACTGAAAGAGACAGTGATAATGATGACATGGATATCACTTTTGCCTTAAGATCTAACTAACTTCCATCAACAGAACATAACATTACTGTCCACGAGTGTAACACCCAGTCTCCTATGATTTCTTGCCCTTGTCCCATAAAATATCTAGGAGTATTGCTAGACCAAACCCTCACCTTCAACTACCATCTCGATCTTCTAGCATCAGGGCTTCGAAAAATGATTTATATTTTTAGAAATCTAAGAGGTGTTGCAAAGCGGTAAATTATTAAAACCGTTTATTATGCGTTATGCTACTCTTTATTGGAATACTGCATCACCTCTTGGGGTGGGGCCGCAAAAACACACCTACTGGCGGTGGAGAGATCCCAGCGCATATTGCTCAAAGTGGCTGCAGGACTCCCATATGAAAAATAGGGTTCACCAAACGCTTTGGATTACGTCGTTGCCTTTCGATATTGCATTGAGAAGTCTTAGTTGCTTTTCTTGTTGTGACAGTTCTATATCTTGTAAACATGCGAAACATCTTGGAGTACTGAAAGTGGGATTGTTTATAAAAAATACGATGTTGGCTATGCCTTCTTCGACATCCAAAAATGATGATGATGTTTTGATGAAGCCAATGGATACTGACGAAACTGAATCAATTCCCTTTTCTTTTCAAAATTAAATTAATAACCATTTTTGAAAACACAAATGACTTGAAACATTGTTCTACGTCAATGTCAAACTCCGACATAGCCCTAAAAGAAAAATATTGTCTTAAATTGCCGGAAATCAGTAGCGGATCCAGGGGGGGGGCTAAGGGGCTCAAGCCCCCCCCAAAGGCATTTGGGTCCGCCCCTGACAAATCTCACACTTTATTATCCTACTTACTTTCTTAGACTCTTAACAGAGAATAAATAATATACTGTTATACTATTACAGTGGGGAAGAATCTATATATCACGATTCCCATCATGAAAAATCTAATCTATTGGGTCAACTGTACGGTACTTTAAACTGTGACGTGACGAGTTTTAAATTCGCGCGCCAATCGAGCGCGGACGCGCTTGTCGCGAGCTGCGCTGGTACTTGTGCTTGAGATAGAGATATACCGTACGCACACATCTCTACACCCACGGCCGGCCGTACGCAGCGTACGGCCGGCCGGTACGTGGGTGTGTGTTGGTAGCATTGCGGGCGGAGCGAGCTTTGATTTGATTTTGATTGATTAGTTGCACAAAAACAATAGACGGGTGTGTTACGCAGTGCTTCTGCTTATTCAAGTGTTTTAAGTTGTTATTTGGGTCTGGGCGTGCTTTGCTTTTGTTCAATTTTGAAAAAAAATGACATCAAAACGTAGTAAGCAAGGAGATCTTCGTTCGTTTTTTATTCCGAAACGAAAGAAAGAGGAGGACGAATCGCGCGATAATGAACCAATATTACCGAGACACAACGTCAGCAACTTAATATTGTCGACCCAAAATTCATCAGGTAAGTACCTACTACAATAACTACAACATCCTTTGGATTATTTTATTCTTATTTTCTTTTCTTTTATTTCATTAGGTACAGTGACAGATAACAGACGAACATAAATTAAATAACTATGACAATAAAGCGCACTATACATCTGCAATACTATAAATCGGTAGTTCTACAAAAGTAGGAATAAAATGAGCCTAATTTCGGCACAAAATTTTTGTAGGTTTACAGTCAGTATTACTATTTGTATTTTAAAAAAGAATCTTTTGGTCGGTTGGTGTTGGGCGGGTGGCGGGTGGTGTAGTGGACTCTTTCTTTGACTGTACACTGCATTGTTGTTACAGAGCCGGAACCAGTGCCAGAGGCTAGTACATCCACTGCTTGCGCTGAATATCGTTTTGATATTTCTTATGCAATAGGAAAATCACTAAGTAACGAGAAAAAGTATAAATATCTGACGGAGTCTTTAGAACCACCTCGTAGTTATGAATATCCAGAGCAGACAGAGGGTGGACAAAAAAGAAAGTTCAGATCTGATTGGCTAAAGGAATACTCCTGGCTAGTCTATAGTCAAGAACAGAACGGCGCATATTGTTTGCCTTGCGTACTATTTTCTGGTCCAGATAGTGGGGGCAAGCATTCTGTGGCTTTAGGATCTTTAGTGACTCGTCCACTTTGCAAATATAAAAAAGCATTAGAAATTTTCAAAAACCATTCCGCTACCGATTACCACAAAATGGCGGTGTTAAAAAGTACAAATTTTAAAAGTTCATATGAAAACCCTGAAAAAGCTGTAAATAATTTAATCGAAACTGAGAAACTTAAAATGATTAAATCAAATAGAGAGCGGCTGATTCCTATAGTTAAGACGATTATACTGTGTGGTCGAGAAAATATACCCTTAAGAGGCCACCGAGATGATGGTACATTGAGTGATGATATCGGCCAAGGAAAATTTCGAGCACTGTTAAAATTTCGTATTGACTCAGGTGATTCATCACTCCAAAAACATTTAGAAACAGCGCCAAAAAATGCTACATATCTAAGCAAAACAACTCAGAATCAGCTGATTGATTGTTGCCATTCTGTTATACTGAAAAAGGTACTTGACAAAGTCAAAGAAGCAAAATATTATGCCGTTCTTGGCGACGAAACAACCGATGCCAGTGGAACAGAACAACTCAGTATATGTATCAGGTATTTGGATATAAAAGAGAGCACAATACACGAAGAGTTCATATGCTTTCTATCTGCAACTGACTTGACTGGTGCTGCATTAAGCAATCAAATCATTCAAGAATTAAATCAAGTTGGCTTACAAATTGAGAATTTGAGAGGTCAAGGTTATGACGGAGGAGCTAACATGTCAGGAAAGTATAGTGGCGTACAATCCCAAATAAAACAGCTTCAACCGCTAGCGACTTATATGCACTGTGCAGCACATAAACTGAACCTAGCTATCGTAAAGGCCTGCAGCTTACCTAGTGTTCGCAATATGATGGGAGTTGTAAGTAGTGTTACCGTTTTTGTGCGTGAATCATCAAAAAGATTGGGACTTATCAAACAAGCCATCCTTGAAAAACACCCTGAGGCGAAAAGAGTTAAATTACAAAATCTAAGTGATACACACTGGCTTGAAAGGCATGATGCACTCCTTCAATTCAAAGAACTCTTTGACTCTATCATACAATTCCTTGAAGAATTTGACAGAATTTCTCCGTCTTCAAAAAGTGCAAGTCTTCTGGCTTCCATTCAACGATTTGACTTTGTTTTACCTTTGGCGGTAACCGCCGCTGTATTTGAAATTACTGTTTCGCTTTCACGGCAACTTCAGGCTGTTGCATTAGACCTTAACCTTTGCTATGAGATGGTAGACAGTGTAATTAGAATATTGGAAAGGTACAGAGAAACTAAATATGAAGAAATTTTCCAAGAGGCGTGTCGTATTGTAGAGCCTTTGGACATCCCAGTGCAGGCACCCAGAACCACCAAACGTTCAACTCATCGCTCAAATATAGAAGCGCCTGATGCTAAGGAATACTACAGGTAAAATAAATCTTAATAAAGCATATAATATATACCCCCGCATTTTGCTTAATGCAGCGTTTCTTTATTTTCTGTTATGTTCTTTCGAGTTAAAGAATAATTTCATATCAAATCTTGTTTCAGATTGAATGTATTCCTTCCTTTCATCGATTTTGTATTGGGACAGCTTAGGAGTCGCTTTTCGAGAGCAGAGCACTCTTCAATTCTCGACCTGTTCACCCTTATACCAAGTGCCATCGTAAAAATAGAAAATCTGAACTCCATAGAGGCAGCTGCGCGTGTTTACAGCAGCGACTTACCTCATCCTCTCTCGTTATCAGGAGAAATAACTCTTTGGAAAGAGCTTTGGAAAGACAGGGAACATCTTCCCCAAACAGCAGCAGAGGCCCATCAAGAGGCAAATGAGTTTTTCCCAAATGTTAAAATTTTATTGCAAATACTTGCTACATTACCAGTATCCACTTGTAGTGTGGAGCGCAGCTTCTCTTCGCTCAAACTAATAAAATCGTACCTTCGCACGACAATGACTGAAGAGAGGTTGAATGGTTTGGCTGCAATGTATATTCACCGAGACATATCCCGCAGCCTACAACCAGTCGAAGTCATTGAAGAATATTCAAAAAGACACTCGAGGAGACTCACTATGCATTAAATGACAAAAAAAATAAAATTTTGAATGCTTTTTTGTGTTTATCTTGACGTAGTTGAAGGTAGGCTTTAATAAAGCCCCTCCCAAACCAAAATCCTGGATCCGCCACTGCCGGAAATTATTAACGCTTCAAAATCCACTCTAGAAACTGTCTAGGATGCAGTTGTGGACCAGACAGAATTTGAAAAGTTCATTAATCAATGCCCAAAAATACAAAATTTTGAAGACATCATCGACCCCACATCAATTTACAATAATTTAGCTCCTCTTCAGGTTACTTCTAATAAAAGAGAATTAACAGACAACAGCAACGATGCATTGTATTAAGAAAACGAAGGACATAGAATACAAGATAAACGGAAGTCTAACTTTTTTATCGGCAAAATTATAAAAAGAATGCGACATTCTTTAGACTAAAAAATAATGTTTTTAAGGAAAGGTCAGGGCAAATCAAAGAAATTTGGTAAGTAATTAGTGATGATGATCTTGTACCTGAATCTCGAATTTTGCGACGTTTAGATATGCCAGAGAAATCAAGAGGGCAATTTACATAAAAAAAATATATATATAAACTTTAAATAAAAATGACTGATAATAGTGATGATGATCTTGTACCTGAATCTCGATATTGACTGAATAAAAATGACTGATAGATACTCAGACAAGACAGATTAATAATTTAATTTTGATTAACAGGACTTGAGGATTCCTACTTACTATTTAATTTAGTATTAAAAATGGCAAATAATAGGATATTTTATGAAACAAGATTTTAAGTTTTGGAAGCTTTTTGTATTCGTAAGTGGCATGTTTTGAACCAAACTTAAAATTATTTTATTAAACTTGGTTGAATATTTTATTGAATAGGAAATATTTCTCTCATTGCGTTTGTTAAACAAAAATAATTTATTAAAATAAGTATTTCCGACATATTCTCAGCTACAATCCCGAAACAGAATATGGACAACTAAAGTAGAAAATTGGGTAGAACCTAAATTCAGTGAAGGTTTGCACCCAACAAAAGAATACAATCATAGAAGCACACCGATACAGTATTTCAATAACATTTTTCCAGAAGAACTTTTTGAAATGATTGTATTATATACTAATAAATATGCAAGACTAAAGCGTAGCAAGTTTTGGAAAGATACTGACGTAAATGAAGTCAAAGCATTTCTTGCAATCGCGATTCTCATGGGCCTAAACCCTTTGCCAGATATTGAATTATATTGGAGTTCATATCCATTTTACAACAATATAGAAATAAGTGGTACCATGACTTGCAAAAGATTCAAAAAACTTCTGGAGAACATACACGCGTGTGATATTACAACCCATTTACCCTGTGACCACAGTGACCATGATAAATTACAAAAAATAAGACCTATGCTTTCTATACTAAACAGGACTTTTCAAGAGAATGCCACCAACTCACAATCTTAGTCAATAGACGAGAGTATGATAAAATTTATGGGGCGTGATACTAAAAAGCAATACATGCCTATGAAGCCAATAAAAAGAGGGTTTAAAGCATGGTGCCGTTGTGACTCTGAAAGTGGATATCTCTATCAGTGCGACATATACGTAGGCAAAGATAATGAATCTAACGAAGAAGGGCTGGGTTACAGAGTTGTAAACAAATTGACTCAAAGTTTACCAAGGAATACACTATTGACCTTTGATAACTTTTTTACTTCTGTAGCTCTTATGGAATGCCTTCATAACAGAGGAATTTTCGCGAATAGCTATTCAAAAAGCTCGAACTCCGGAAGAGCGCAACTGATCAAGGAAAATAAACTCGAACCAGGTGAGTTTACTTTCCGCGTTTGCCCTCCTTCAGCTGTAATAAAATGGAAAGACTCAAAAGATGTTTACGTAATTACTACTGCTATTGACCCTAAAAGAAATGTAACAATACAAAGAACCAAAAAGGATGGGCAAAAAAAGAATATACTTTGCCCATCTGCGATAGCAGAATATACGAGACATATAGGGGGAGAAGATCATTTTGATCACTTCTGAAGTTCGTATTCTATAGGTCGCAGATCTAATAAATCCTGGTTTAGGATGTTCTGGTTCCTTTTTGAGAGCGCTGTGATTAATTCGTATATATTGTATAAATACAAAAATGAAACTCGCCAAAACATTCACAGGGATTTTAGATTGCGATTGGCCATAAGTTTGAAGTCTCAATATCTGACACTAAAAAAACAAGATCCAGTTATATTCAAAAACAAAAAAGGCGGACGTTTTGGTGTGCCTGACGAGATAAGATTGAGCCCGCAAGAACATTTTTTGAAATTGTCGACTTTTAAGCGTTGCCGATTCTGCAGTACACGCAAACAAGAAAAGCGTTCCAAATACATGTGTGAAATTTGTAAAGTTACATTATGCGTTGATCCATGTATGAAAGCGTTCCACCTAGCTTCTTCTGGTTCTGGGGCATAAATACATTTCATTTATACATTTCATCAAAAAATAATAACAGTTATGATTATAATACGAAAGAATAATATTTTTGTTTTATTTGAAACTCTTTACAAAATAAAAGTAAATAAGTAAAATAAATAAATTATATATAATTATATAATATAATTTATGTGTAATTAAACTAATTAAATTATGTGTTCATGAATTCATGAAGAATTTATAATTCTCTTCCCAGATTTTCGCACCGCCTTGTTTTTCTCAGTACCCAGCTCTCAAGTTGACTGGTAGAGAATGCCATATGGCATTAAGTCCGCCATTTGTACTGTTTTTGTGCAATGAAGTTTAAATAAATAAATAAATAATGAATAGACTAGCCTTCACCATTTTATATATAGATATGCAGATAAGAGTTGTCTCTACCCAGGCAATGGGATTATGTTTTCCCACATCATTTTTTCAGCTATTTCAGTGTTTTTTCAGTAATTTGTTGATAAGAAATAGGAAAGGGCGTTATTTTAAGCCTAAATCCATATATAACACTTAATATACAGTAGCGGTTTACCGCGGCCTGTTTAAGGGTTAAAATATAAGACTAATTAGTTAAGTAATTGTTGATTTTTCAACACAGTTCCTACTAATTATTAAAAGAAATTTTTTAAAGTTTTTAATTTTTTAGAAGGGTATTATGTTTTTCTATGTTTTTTACTGTTGGGTATTTCCATGAAACATTACCCTACTGTGATTAAAATTCAATTATATTATTTACTAAAACAAAAACCATATCTGGAGTTCTAAATAAACATACTCTCAAAAATTTGTAAAAATAAAAATTTTAGCTCTTTTCCAAAATTATATACATTAATCAATTTGTATGTCAACCTCCTTTGTTCTACATAGCACCTCCTATTTTTTTAAGTTTGTTATCTTGTGGACAAATAGAGAAGAAAGAAATACTTCATCTGCCATCCAGTCGACGTTATCACATATTGGAACTATAAGTCGAAAGAACCATTTAAAAAGGCTCATTTAACTTTCTGATTGAAATAGCCAGTCATACATTTGCTTCATTCCCTCGTTCTGCTAAGAAACTTCTAGAAGAAGTTTGTTGTTATATAGAAAGTGAAGAATGTATGACAAATAAGTGTACACAGTGTGATAACGTAACTGATATAATACCTTTGACATATGATCGTGACACAATCACATCATGAAACCAGTGGAAAGAACTTAAGGGTCGTTTACAAGTTCAATTGAAGACAGGCACCGTTGCTGATTTCATAAAATTATTTGAGGCTCAACTAAAAAGTTTAAGACACTGGTTTGTGAAAAAGTTCAGAACAAACACTTCAAAGAAATGAGAGAAAGAATATCCTAAGACCTCTGCTGCAAGTAGATTTCGCTGAGAATTTCGCAATTATATCGCAGGACGATATTCAAAGGCGACATCAACAGGCCACAGTTTTTACCAGATGTGCTTTGGTACGAGAAGTTATAGAATCTCGATCTTACGCAATCATTAGTGAGGACCTTAGCAACAACAAAGTTTGTGTATTGGTGTTCATCAAAATGATTTAAAGAACTGATAACATCCAAAAAAATCAGGGTAGTTCACATCTTCTGGGATGGCTGCGAAGCACAGCTCAAGAATCGGTATAATTTGTACAACTTCAGAAGATTTGGCTTTTGGATGGCTGCAATAATACAAGGTTTCTATGATAACTGTCCTTCAATTAAAGTTATGGTGGTTATGGCTGCATCTCATTACGTGACGATTCTGCCAATGCCTGGGTGGCAACTGTCCTTATAAATTGCTAATGGATTGTCAAATTGAAAGTTATTGCTATAAATGTTGAGTCACCTACACAATTAGGCCCTTCTGGGCTGAAACTGAGGATGCACTCGGGAATAACACTTAAATGATTGATTCAAATATAGGTGATATCTACTTTAAAGAAAGTATGAACATATTTATGCGTATCTGCATAAATTATTTTAACAACAACATTAGATTAGCATTTACTAAACACAAAAAATTTTAAACACAACCTTCCATTTTTTTTTTGTATATAGGTCCGACAAATGACTCCACCCGACCTGATTTTCAGTGAAGGTGAAGTCCAGACGCGAAGATAGCTGATACATTTTACATGTTGGTTAAATAAAACTTTGACAGCCCTAACACTTTTTCCATTCACCCCGTTACGGGTTTCTATTGACTCCAGTCGCTGGGTGAATAGAACTTGTTAATATTTTTCGATTTAACTGGAAAATGTTTGCTTAGTATCTAGGATCTTTGTATACGGGTACCAGACATAATATAAAATCACCTGAGATTAAAAGAAAAGCCTACTAACAAGAAAATCTTCAGACAAAGTTCAAATCCATTGCTATTCACCCCGTTTTACGGTACACTCTTCCCTTATTTCATTACCTTCCCAGGGCTCATCACATTCCAGTGATTTTCTTGTAAATTAAAGCTTTTCGCAGTCAGCACTCGTAGATACTATCAATTCATTTTCAATAAAATTGTGTCTTTTCACATCTCATTCATATTGTATTAGTTAATAACAAACATTTAATAGTAAATGTGTGGATCTGAGGCATATGTCACTCTTACGTCTACGCCGTTCACCCAGTATTAACAATACTTGGATCTACGTAATCTAAGTTAAAAGGCAACGTACACCAACATCTACCCTGGGATCCTCGTAGTTGAATTTAGTGAATGGGAGATACTTTCTGTGGCGCGTATTATTCCCTTCTTTCCAACTCCAACGATCGCCAAGGTTTATGAATTGAATGAAATGAAAATGCAACTTCATGTGCGCATCGGCGCACAAACGTCAAAACAAAACGCCAAACATCATAGTTAGTTAAGTACTAAGTGGTGTCGATTCTGGCACAATTCTCTAAATCTAAACTTAAATTTTACAACAGTGTATCCTTGTCATTTTCTTTACAGAATGAAAAGGAGAGAAAGAATCACGATCGTTTTATCCCTTTACTTAATTTCTCTCTGTAATCTGTGTTATATATTTATTATAGTAATACCGACACTTCACTTGGCTATTTGTATTAGTTATTTCTAAAAAAAACTTGGCATCAGTCTGTCTTTTTCATGCCTTTTATAGCATAATAAATACAGACTGATTTTAAATTTACAAATAGCTTACGAATAGCAATTTGATGTGCCGGTGAATAAAATATCTGTTTGACACAATTTGACAAATCTTTGTAATCATTTTCATTTGCGACTAGAGTTGATCGGATTACTTAAAGATGAAAACTATTTCACGTAATCCAAATAATTAAAAATACCTAATCCAAATACCTATTCCAAATATTTATGCAGTATCGCCGATCCCCTATACGTACGACTATGTGATATTGGTGTCGATTCTGACATGATTCTCTATCCGCTATCACCGCTTTACCAAAGTGTGGTTTAATTTTTTATGAACCGATTTGGAAAAAAACTTTTTTTATTGTAAGAAAATACTTCCCCATTGCTCCTATTCAAAATTGAACCTGGCCCTGCAGCCAAGATCCTCTCTATATAAAGAAATAATAAAAATAATTTAAGATTGGTATGCTCGGGGTGTTACTATTTATGTTACAGCAGTAAACCTTTGATTGGCCTTATTATTAGCATAATAAGTGTTAACTATAGTTTGAATGGTAACGTTGTAATATTGGTTTTCAAATAAATATAAAATTCGTTGAATAACGCCTCCTATCTAGCGTAGCAATGTACTTAGTCATCACACCTTACCTCAATGGACAACTATGATGAACGTAAATATTGCAACGACGCTAACAACTAATGATCAAATAGTATCCTAGTCAGGGCCGGATTTAGGATTGTGGAGGCCTCGGGCCACTTAGGATTTGTATGCTTATTGACCCATCGAAATGTTGTTATTTCTTAAGCTGTTGTGGAGGCCCCTGGGCCACAGCCCCGCCTGCCCTGCCTTAAATTCGGCCCTGATCCTAGTCGGCGTTTGTTGCAACTTTTCCTTTGGCTTTTAAATATTTTATGTATATTATTACTCAAAATATTTGATGCCTCAGACTATGTATCGACTAGTATCGAAAAATACGTACTCCAAATACTTAATACAATAATTATGCCTCACCCCTATTTGCGACATATACTCTCTTTAAAGCCGGCACTTCACTTGGCTACTCGTGTTTACTATTTAAAAACTTTTCATCAGTCTTTCTTTTTCATTCCTTATAGAGCAAGATAAGGAAAGACTTTTCTCAAGTTTACATACAGCAAATACAAATTGTCAACCGTGAATAAGTGAATTGCAGGCATAATCTACGCTTTTGTTTGCTGGACCAGGGCTGCGTTCAATACCTTCGCTCAGAGTGCCATCTTTTACCCTGATGTTTCAATTTTGTCTTAGAATGTATCGAACATAATTCGGGCTTTACACTACCGAATTTTAAGAAACTCTTATCCTGACTAATGGTGATGTAAATTGAGTTAGAGAGTAAGGGAACCGATCTAAGGCCCACAAGTGGGTAATGAAAACGCTGTTAGGCAGTAAGGGAGCTCAGTCGACGCTCTGAAAGCTTATAGAATAAAAGTTATAGTACGGACGTATATTACATCACTGAACCTTTGTTTCGTTTCTAAGCGTTCGGTACAATGGAGCAAATACAAAGAATAGGCTAGTTGACTCATGTCGAATTGTATTAAATAAATGTTTATTTCTTACAGTATTTGGTCTAAGGAACCTAAATATATCGATTTCACTTCATAAAAGCAGAAGATTGCTGTAGAAATTTAATTTTAAAAAATATTTTTTAGTCTATATTTTTTAAACAGTAAAAACGCTGTTCGCCACATCCGCCATGATTTTGACGTCTCTTTCAGTAAACAACTAAATGTCATTCGCGTGTTATTGTGAGTGGATTCTTTAGTCTGAATAAATTTATCTTAAAACCCTTTTAACTTTAGATAAGTTTCCGTTTACTGTTTTTTTTGACAAAACTAATTATTGATGCCGGCTTTGTGAAAGCACAAATCTGCCAAGAATTGACGCATTGATGGTTGGTGAATTTTTTGCACTAAACCCCGATTACTGCTCTGCGGAGCAGAGAAACGACAAGTCATCTATGTAAGTACAGTGCATTTAGTATTACAATGTAGTAATAAACATAAAACTGATACAACATATGAATAAGTGTAATAAAATTGCGTAGGTTAATTTCTTTCGGCACTTTAAGCCATAACATTCCTGGCGTCTTCAAGGATGTGTTTTTATATTCTCGTACAATACAATAATGATAATTACTTTATTTTTCGTGGTATTTAATAGAAATCATGTTCTTTTTATTATAAACTCAGTTATTTTCTACGTGCTTACGAGTTTTTGTTTACTACAGTTGACATCATAGCATAGACAATCTATAGACTAAAATGGCCGACAGCGTTTTTGTATGTCCATGAAAATTCTATTTTAAAATTAAAGATTTGTAGCTTTCTAGGTCTCAAAAAAATACAATACATTTTTTTTCGTTCTAATAGAACATTTATTAACCATTTAAAACCTTTTTCCAAAAAGGGTCAACTAGCCTATTGTTGTGTAGCGTTTATTCAGAAATCAAGGGAAGCTACTGACTGAGGAAGCAGTGTGACGTGTAGAATACCAACAACGTCAATATTGCATGTAGTGAAACTAAAATCAAGTTACTTGTAAACACGACGACACGCAAGAGTTGGGCCGCACTAAGGATACAATTTATTGACAATAAATGTAAAAACCGTGGTGTCAATTCTGATACGATCCTCTAAACCTAAACTCTTTGACAAAAGTGTATCGTTGTCATTCTCTATACGGAATGAAAAGGAGAGATTGATGTTAAATTTAATTTTAAGTTTAGACAATCACGCCGATATTATATATATATATATATATAATATATCGGTTATATTGTTTGTAACCAATATATTACCAAAGATGTAAAAGATACATTAAAAAAAAACTAAAATATGAAATACAAGATACCAGGCAGTCAAGTATTTAGATAACAGATACAATATACACACATCAAAAGTGTCTAGGGATCAAGCATTTTTATGCGGATTTCTTGAGATTGAGATGTGGCTTTGTAATAAATTTATGATTTTATAAATTTATATGGATCCTTTTTGGTGCATTTCATAATTTGAATCAGGAACTGTGAATCAAATTCGAGTAAAAGATGAAAATCAGCTGTCAATATTTTCCCTATAAAAACATACAACGCATTGAAGACATTATTAGTGCTACTGTTTCCCTACTACTGATTAAAACCAACGTTATTATGGAGCGGCGACGTCATTTAAGCAGGGAAGAAATGCTCAGAGCCGTGGGAATGATAGAAGCTGGTTCCCGGCAACGTACTGTGGCTTTAGCTCTGAATACAAGTCAGAGTGTTATCAGTCGACTTTGGACACGATACCGAAGCACTGGTACCGTGGCTGAGCGCCATGGAGGACGGTATCGCTGCACCACACGGAGACAAGACCGATACATTCAAATCTTAACTCGAAGAGCTCCAACAATAACCGCCATGATGTTAGCCGTGAGGCTTCATCACTCTTCAGGGAACTTAATTAGCGACCAAACAGTCAGAAACCGCTTGCATGAAGTGAACCTTCATTCCCGAAGACCGCTACGGGTACCACCTATAGCAATGCACAATCGTAGGATTCGATATCAATGGGCTCTTGAACACAGAAATTGGGCAGAAGAACAATGGCGTTTCGTGTGCTTTTCTGATGAGTCTCGTTTTGGTATGAGACCGGATACAAGACGTATACGACACTGGAGAACCCCTGGACGCCAACAGCGATTAAAATCCTGCCAGGAAGTCCATCCTTATAGTGGTGGAACCATCATGGTATGGGCGGGTATTTGGATCGGCGGAAGAACTGAGTTGATTTGGATCAGAGGCAACCTCAACGCTCAAATTTATGCTGAGACGATTGTATCAGACGTCATCGTTCCTCTACAAGTGCAAATCGGTCCCTTATTTCAGTTAATGCATGATAATGCACGACCGCACACCGCAAGAGTTGTAAGACAGACTCTCGCCGCAGCTAACATCAATGTCCTGCCCTGGCCTGCTCAGTCGCCAGACTTGAACCCGATTGAGCATGCATAGGATATGCTACAGAGAAGAGCTCTGCCGAATATGGAGGGTATCCAGTCGCAAGAAGACCTTTTTTTGTTGTTGCAACGAACATGGGCGGCCATTCCACAGCGTAATTTGGATGAACTCATTTTGAGTATGCCAAACCGATGTTCTTGTGTTGTTAGTGTTCGCGGTAGAAATACGGATTATTAATTGTTTAAGTTACCCAATAAAATTTTAGAGAAAACTGTTATTTCAGTCTTTTTTTCGAACTTTTGTGTTAGTGGTTCAAATGTCAAAAATCCCTTTATTAGGAAAATGGCAAATTTCTTTATTAATGCAAAGGTGACTTGGTTTATCGTTACTGTGACAAACGAAAACACTTTATTTGATGAATCCTTAAAGAAAATTTTAATTAATATCAATCAGGAGAAAAGTTATTGCAAAAATATATGTTGATCCCTAGACACTTTTGATGTGTGTACTTTTGGAAAAAAGTATTTGAAATACCAGATACAAGATACGTATTTAAAAAAAAAGATAAAGATACTTTTTGAATAAAAAAATGTTAGCAATATAGCCATTCCGCTGTGCTTGTTTTTTGATAACAAAACCGTTAGGCCACGCCCCTAAAGATGTGGCTGCTGTTCTTCCAATCATTAATTTCGTCATCATCATCTTACGATTGATCTTACTTGCATTCACGTTTCTT